GATGAGAGCAAGTTTTGTATTTCATTTGGAAACCGAGGTCCTAGAGTCTGGGGGAAGGGTGGAGAAGCTCATAGCCCAAGTAGCTTGAAGTCCAGTGTTAAGTTTCCACAGTCTGTGATGATTTGGGGTGCAATGTCATCTGCTGGTGTTGGTCCATTATGTTTTTTACGTCACTGCGTCACTGCACCTGTTTACCAAGAAATTTTGGAGCACTTCATGCTTCCTTCTGCAGACCAGCTTTTTGAATTTCATTTTCCAGCAGGATTTGGCACCTGTCCACACTGCCAAAAGCACCAAAAGTTGGTTAAATGACCATGGTGTTGGTGTGCTTGACTGGCCAGCAAACTCACCAGTCAAGAGGAAAATGAGAAACAAGAGACCAAAAAATGCAGATGAGCTGAATGCCACTGTCAAAGAAACCTGGGCTTCCATACCACCTCAGCAGTGCCACAAAGTGATCACCTCCATGCTATGCCGAATTGAGGCAGTAATTAAAGCAAAAGGAGCCCCTACCAAGTATTGAGTACATGTACATAGTACAGTAAATGAACATACTTTCCAGAAGGCCAACAATTCACTAAAAAAATTTTTTATTGGTCTTATGAAGTATTCTAATTTGTTGTGAATTGGTGGGTTTTTGTTAAATGTGAGCCAAAATCATCACAATTAAAATAACCAAAGACTTAAACTACTTCAGTCTGTGTGCATTGAATTTATTTAATACACAAGTTTCACAATTTGAGTTGAATTACTGAAATTAACTTTTCCACGACATTCTAATTTATTGAGATGCACCTGTATGTGAGGACTCTTGATGATTCTTGACGATGGTAACAGTTGGCATGCCAAGTGTGGTCTGAGTCTGTAATCTATGGTTTCCCTTCTCTTTAGTCACGTGTCAACAAGGAAGGAATCAAGTTTGCATTCTTTATGTAATTGCAGAACTGGAATGTGGAATGTTCACCCTTTGCACATTCATTTACAATGTTAATTTCATTGTGCTTTAAGCCTCGAATAAGAATGTAGTAATTTTAGCTCTGCTTAAAGGGGTCATCGGATGCAAAATTCACTTTTGTTGTTGTTTGAGCATAAATGTGTGTTGGAAGTGTGTGTACACATCCACCCTATGATGATAAAAATCCACCCATTGTTTTTTTTTAAATCCCTATTATAAAATCCCCTTTCTCAAATCAGGCTGTTCTGAGATTCCTGTCAGTATGCCGTAGTTCTGCACAGGCCCCTCCCACGATAGTTGATTGACAAGGCCGTCTTACCTTGGACCTGCCCTGAGTGAGCTGTGAGCTGTCCGCCATTGTGTCGACTCCGGTGCAGTGGAACTTGGAAGACAAGAATGTCTCCGATTAAGCGATTGAGGTGTTCTGTTGCTGGATGTAATAATGAACATAGCCGTCGTCATTTACTCCCGACATCTGAGCCGCTGAAGACGCAGAGGATTAACGATACTTTCGTTTTTTGAAAGGAATGTGCCGATCCCCGATCTGCCTAAATGCGTTTGTTCACGCGAATCATTCATGACCCAGCTTCATTTACAGAAGAAGTGAATATAAGGGTTTTTTATGAATCTTTGCAAATCGCCTTTCCTAATAACGTGCTAGTTAGCAAGTTCCGTGGCTAAAGTAAACAGTATCATGAGAATGGCTCGTGAGTCGTCACCCACGGATGAGAGGGGCGGGGTCAGCAGAGCTTATTAGCATTTAAAGCAACATGGATTTGAACTGCGTTCTGAAAACAGAGCTGATTTTGACAAGGTAAAAAGGGTGTTTTTTACACTACCATTGAGAATTTTTTACCAAAGTATGTTATAGATTTTTCATTAAGACCCTAAAGAATCATATAAATTGTGGAAAATGGGCATCCGATGACCCCTTTAGTGCATTTTACCATGTTTAACTCTATTCTGAAGGGTACAAGACAAAATTCATACAGAAAATGTTAAATGGATTCCGTCTGGTTTCCTACATGTATCTTGTCTAATTGAGCAATAGAGCTATTCTCACATTAAATCCACACCTAGCAACCAAAATCAGTGTTGTTTACATGCTTCAAATTTTCCATTTCACAACTGCATGTCTAAGCATGTCTATACCATACCATAGTAATTCTTGGGATAGTTAGAGATAGTTCACCCAAAAACTTGCTTTCTTCTGTGGAACACGAAAAGATGATATTTGAGGTCCAAACAACATTGGATCGCATTGATTTCCATTGTATGGACAAACACTGAGGCATTTCTCAAAACATATTTTACTTTTATGTTCCATGAAGTCAGTCAGTCATAATATTTTGGATGACATGGGTTAGTACTGTAAATAATGACAGAATTTTTGATGTGAACTAACTATCCCAGATTTGTATGTCATCTTCTCAAGGATCGAAAAGTCTTTGTGTTTCTTCTCTCCTGTAGGGAGGCAACAATGCAGGACACACAGTCGTGGTTGATTCAGTGGAATATGACTTCCACCTTCTACCCAGTGGAATTATTAACCCAATGGTCACTGCCTTCATTGGTGAGTAATATATCAAATTTCCTCCCTCCATTCGGATAAAATGTCTTATATGAGTTGTGCACGTTCTCATGCAACCAGTTCAGCATATAGATCTCAGTCCTTGCTTTGAAAACAACACCACAGCTTCCTGTTGGAGTGTTTGGATGTTGGCCAGCATATCCAGACTAATATAGCTGAGTGCAATCTATGCAGTTTATTTGCAAAATCCAATTTTGCTAATGGCCATTACTGTGTTTGGCCTTCTGATTCATATGTCAGCACTGTAGATTAATATGATGTATTGGAAGTGATTGATGTTCATAGTACATTAGATTATACAGGTTTCAGAAATCTGTGTTGCAGGGTTCAAGGGTTGATATGTGTGATTTTTATTCACACATATCATTCCAAATTTATTTTCATTCCAAAACCTGGAATTGCACAACTGGGCTTTTCAGTAGTGTTGCTTTCGTCGTCAACGAACCTTTATCACGTGACGAAAACGAGACGAGACGCAACGTAAATGCTGGTCATGTGACAATGACTATAATTAAATGTAAAATGCAATATTGTTGACAAATAAAAACGAGACTAAATGTGGTTTACAAAATAAAAACTATGCTAAAATGTCTCTTCATTTTCATTGACCAAAACGAGACGAAATTAAATGTTATAAAGTTATTTCGTCTCGTTTAGTCGCGTTATTATTATTATTTTGCAGTATTTCTGTTTCCTGTGTCTCACTTCAGGGGCTGCATCAGGTCGCATTGCACAGACGCAGGCGACGTCACTTCCTCAAGCCCCACTCGCGGCATTATTTAGAACAGTGTTTCCCAACCAGTGTGCCGTGTAAAAAATCCTTTTTAATATTTTTAAATTGCTAAAATGTTCAAAAAAGCAGCTATTATATAATATCCATTTCTAATGTCACCAATAATTAGAGATGCAATGAAATTCCGGCTGCCGAAAATTAGTTCACCACTCAGGATTCACTTTCACGTGGTGTGACGCTCTGCGTATTATCCCCCTCTATGCGTGTGTGCGCTCCACTCAGTCGCTCACGGCCCATGTGAGTGCTCCACTCATATACCGTTCATGCTCATCGGAACAGCAAAGTCCACTCAAAAATCAAGCTGACAGGAAACATCGATGTAGTACAGTATTGTTTTTGTTTGCAATAGCCCTACTGTGCTGTAACAAGGTGTGGTATATGGGCAACTCTGGTAACGCTGCCCTCTCATTCATTGATCTGCTAACCGTGATGCTCATGTGTCCTCTGATAATAATAGCTTTCTAGGATTAAACATTATTTGGATAATTGGTAAAAAAAATATATATATATATCTTAATAGCCCTACTGTGTGTTAGACCTACCCGAAAAACTAAAAAGCAATTTATTTCATTTGTAGGCCTATCGTTATTTTTTTTATTTGTGCTATCATTAGTAATTTCTTTATTTGTTCTTATTTTATTATTAACTGCTTAGCCTCCTTGTCATTTTTTTATTCAATTCAAAGTTTTAAATCAAGTTATCTCGTGCTATTGCAACAAAATTACCCAGCTGTAAAATCAAAAATACACTGAGTGAGCAAAACTTTGTTTAATTACCATTATAACTAGCTATCTCACAATGTTTACATATGAATAAAAGCCTACATTAAACTCTGTCATATAAATTGGTCTCTTCATTAGAAATTAGCCTACTGATTGCCACCATTGATAGACACATTTTTTTAAATAATATTAAAAATATCTGTATGACATTATATTCTGCAGTTCTTCCCTGTTGTACCGAATATCTATACTTTTCAAATTATCACATCGAAGTTAGATAACCTTGTTTGAAATGGGTTTGGCTAAAAGAAAATGTTGGTTTCGTCTATGCTACTAGGTACTTATACTATATTGGCTGGGTTAAATAGAATTGCATTTCTAAAAAGAGACTAAAATACAATTTTCATTGACTAAAACTAGACTAAAATGTCATCAGTTTTCGTCGACTAAAACTAGACGAAAATAGTCATGGATAATTCTGACTAAAATAAGACTAAAATGCTCAGACTTTTAGTTGACTAAAACTTGACTAGACTAAAAAGAGTATGAACGTGACTAAAACTAATAAAAACTAAAATGGCAGCTTCACACAAAGACTAGACTAAAACTAAAATTAAAACAGGCCGCCAAAAACAACACTACTTTTCAGACTGTAAATGGGTAATTCTTTCTCTTGCTCCTATTATTATTATTAATTTTTTTTTAAGAATTCTCACTGTAAATTTATAAACTTTGGTTAATGTTATTTTTGCATATTTATGAAGTTAATAATGTTGACTGGACAAGCACACAACTTGCTTGTCCATCTGTGATATTTTCACAACTTAAACGATAACAGCATGACTCAAGAAACACGTTTCTGTGATTGTACAAAGTGCATGAGTTTGTCTGTGGCTAAACAACTTGCTGTAATATTCCAACACTACATTATTTAACACTTCAGGCCAGGGTGAATTGGACAGTGATGACTGACAGCTCCTCATTTGATTGCAGGTAATGGTGTAGTCATTCACCTGCCGGGTCTCTTCGAGGAGGCTGAGAAGAATGTGCGGAAAGGAAAAGGTTTGTTTAACTGTTTTTGTGCCCTTGGGCTGTATGATTAATTATTAGTGAGTATTCACAGGAGTCTAACTGTGAGTTTGCTCGCAGGTCTGGAAGGCTGGCAGAACAGGCTCATCATCTCGGACCGTGCACACATCGGTAGGCTGATGGCTTTCATGACATATAAACACCATCATATCCCAAAATTACATTCACAGCTGCAAACACAGCAAAATTTGACTTTATATAGTTATAAAGGAAAAACAGTAATATTGTAAAATATTATTACAATTTAAAATGACATAGAAATATTAGAAATTAGAAATATTACTTATTTGCAATGATGGCTAAACTGAATTGTCTGTATTTTAGTCCAGTCTTCAGTGTCACATGATCCTTCAGAAATCATTATATGATGTTGATTTGCTGCTCAAAAAACATATATTTTTATCAGTGTTGAAAAAAAAACCCAATTCTTCTGCTTACTATTTTTGTGGAAACTGATAGTTTTTTTTCAGTATACTTTGAAAATAAAGTTCAAACCACATTTATTTGAAATAGAAAACGTTTGTAACATACTGTAAATGTCTTTACTTTTGATCAGTTTAATGCATCCTTTTGAATGGTAGTGTTGTGTATGTAACTTAAGCCAAATGAATGCATTGATATACATTAAGTACATTGGGTGTTCTGGATTTGGAGATATTTTTTACAACAAAAATGGTCAAGAATTGTTATTTGGTTAAAAAAAAACATAATACAGTAGGTATTATTAAAGTTATTGCAAGACACTTTATTGATGCCCGTCTAACATACTGGTAATATTTCTCACAGTAATGTCTGTTTTTTTAAATATGAAATTTATGATCAAATTTTGAAAACCTCCCTTTGACACCATATTCAAAAAATCCTGAACCTAAATCTTTAACACTGTTCTTTTTATGCCTTGCAAGCACTGCTGTTCCCTTCAGGAACTGCAAATCTAGCTAGCCATAATAGCTTAATATCAATAATAATATTTAATTAATCCATTAAAATGTTGTTTGATGCATCAATACATTTTTACTCATCAGTTTTTTTGTGTGTGTGTGTTTGTTATGCTTTGCTTTAGCTTTTGGGATTTGAAGTAGGCAGATATTGCTCTCAAATGTCACATAATCAAAGAGTCCTTTAAAATTAATAATGGTTTGTGTTTGAATTATTAGGCTGATGATACAACTTTTTGAGCAATTTTGTCGGGCAACTATTTTTGAGCAGTGATGCTTGGGCACTTTTCCACTGAGAATGGGTAACAGATTTCTGTCTGGATATTTTAGATCGGTCATGGGCCCTGTGTCTCACCTGGTTGCCCGTTGACACCAACATTAACCAAAGTTGCCCAGCAACATTGCTCAAAAAGTTGCCCCGTGTATCATCAGCCTTATGCATTTAGACTATTGTTGTAATTCTAGATTCTCAAGAGTGGTTATAATGAAAGGACACAGGATCAATTGTAGTCAACCCAAGTGTTGTTATGGTGACCTGCTTTGGCATGTTGGGTTCAGAGCTCAGAGAGATGAGTTGTCTCACTGTAATGTATACACTCTCCTGCCTCTAGTGTTTGATTTCCATCAAGCTGTGGATGGAGTCCAGGAACAGGAGAGGCAACAGCAAGCTGGCAAAAAGTAAAAACCTTGCTTTATGCACACGCATACAACACGCTAGCAACATGTTATGACATGAGTTCATAACAAAAGAAAAAATGCTTTGAGAGATTAACTTTAGTCATGTGTATTGGTGGCTTTTCTAACCGCTCAGTTTGGTCTTATTAATTGACTTTCAGTGCTAAGTTCTTTTATGTGAAATGTGAAGTTTATATGTATATCTGCAAAAAGAAAACATTTTATACTCTTAATAACATAACATTCAATATATGACAAATAAAATAAATTAAATATTAAATGTAATATTGGCTAAATCTGGCATTAAATTTAAGAATCTGAAGTTCAGATTAATATTTCATTGTCCCTCTCACATTAAAACATTATGTGAAATTAAAATGTAGTGTACAAATAAATGATTATGTACATCAATAATGATTCATTCAATGGCTTTTAGTTGTACACTACTGTTCAAAAGTTTGTGGTCTAAAATTTTTTTTTTTTAATGTTTTTGAAAGTAGTTTCTTATGCTCACCAAGGCTGTATTTAATTGATTAAAAATACAGTAAAAACAGTAATTTGGTGAAATATTTTTACAGTTTAAAATAAGTATTTTTTATTTTAATATTATAAATGTCATTTTTTCCTGTGATGCAAAGCTGAATTTTCTGCCGTCTTTACTCCAGTCTTCAGTGTCACATGATCCTTTAGATATCATTTTTTAGATATCATATCATATCATACTGGTAAAAAATGTATAGCCTGAATGCACTGTAAGTTGCTTTGGATAAAAGCGTCTGCTAAATGCATAAATTAATTAATTAATTAATTTTAATATGCTGATTTGCTGCTCAAGAATCATTTATTATTATCCATGTTGAAAATGTTATTGTCAGTATTCATAATTAGGTTGTGCTCTTTATTATTTTTCTAAAACTGATACAGATTTTCAGGATTCTTTAATGAATAAAAAGCTCAAAAGAACAGCATTTCTTTATTTTAGTAAAGACATTGTAAATGTCTTTACTCTCACTTTTCATCAGTTTAAAGTGTTGAATAAAAATGTGTATGTAAACAAAATTACACTTAATTTTATACAATATTGTATGTAACGGGTTCACTTCTCTATGTCTACTTAGGGGGCCCTGAATAAGGGTTGCAGACCCCTCTTTTTAAGCAACCAACATGGGGAAAAAAAAGTGTCTATCTAATGCATGTGAATATCACTCACGAGTCTCACTTTCTTTCTGTTTCACCACCTAGTTTAGGAACAACTAAAAAAGGAATCGGTCCCGTGTACTCTGCCAAAGCAGCTCGCAGTGGCCTGAGGATATGTGACCTTCTGGCTGACTTTCAGGAGTTCTCAGAGAGGTTAGGGTGTGCTTACCTGTTCCAATGAGCTTGACAACTCAACTATCTTACCCATTCATGCCACATTTCCATAGACTGTGTTAAGCCTCACCCTCTGTAAAAACACTTAATCCAGGTCTTAATCCGACAGAAACAAGCTGAGAGCAAGAGCAACTGATCTATCACAGTGTCAGCTGAGCAGTCTCATGTCTTATTTCACAGATTTAAACATTTGGCCTCGCAGTATAAGTCTATGTACCCTTCACTGGAGATTGATGTGGATGGTGAACTTGAGAAACTCAAGGTGAGAAGCTTAGATGCCACACCAGTTAATTCCGTAGGTTAGGTTTACAAGATTTTATAGGACAACATATCAGTTATCATATAATGTTAACTTTTTAAAATACATTTATTAATTACTGTATTCATAAAAGTAACATCTGTTGTGACACACGGACAACAAGGGTTACCACACTTTCTGACATTGTTTTTTCAGACATATGTAGACAGGATAAAGCCCATGGTGAGAGATGGAGTCTTCTTCATGTATGAGGCGCTACATGGGCCTTCAAAAAAGATTCTGGTGGAAGGTGCCAATGCTGCCTTGCTGGACATAGACTTTGGTGAGTAATGGAAACACCGAAACACATTGTACATACCATTCCCAGACCATGTGTAATATAAGATTATGCAATGTGCTAACCAGCTGATTCCCATTTGTGAACTTCTGGGAAAGTCCTCCCATATTAGTTAAGTCCTGTGAACTATCAACCATAATAAGTCTACAAGTCAGTAATACAGTCTCACACATTTTATTTTATTTCATGTTATGATTTTTTTTTTATCCGTCATTTTAAAACATTATAGTTCCTACTATTTTTTTTTATGGTTGAATGATTTATGTATTGTGTAATTAAAAAATTTTTTTTTGACATTGATAGATGTAGATGCTTATTACTCTACATAATAAAAATAACAGTGTCATTACATTCTCTACAGCTTTACTAACACTTCAGTCACTTTTAAATTCTATTTGTTTAATTAATTGTATTTAAATTTTCTTAATATATTATTTTTATCATTTAATTTTTTTATTATAATAGGTTTAACTTTGCTTTAATTTATTTTTCACTATGTAAAAAAAATCATTTGTCATTTGATTTTAAGCAGTGTTGTGTGCCTCTAACTTTTTACAATTAAATATAGGCGTTGACAGACGCAAAGGTCTATTATTGTACATACAGTCATGAAAATAACCCTGACATTGCCTAAAGCTTCACTAACACTTCACTGGTACGCAGAGCTGATCTGACGCCTTTGTTTAGGGACATATCCGTTCGTGACTTCCTCAAACTGCACCGTGGGAGGGGTGTGTACGGGTCTGGGCATGCCGCCCCAGAACGTGGGTGAAGTCTATGGAGTTGTCAAAGCCTACACCACGAGAGTTGGGATTGGAGCTTTCCCTACAGAACAGAACAACGTAAGCAGCTGCTTAACTTCCTCTTTTGTTTTCACATTGTTTGGATGAGCTCGCACTACTGTTTATATTCCGGTGCATTCAGTGTTATGAGTGTTTTGGCAGTAATGACCCTGACTTTAGTCAAGCACAATTATTGTCATGGATAGATTTGAACAGGAATAATGAGGCTGGAGGAACAGAGCAGTCAGTAATCTGTCACACTACATGACAATGAATACATTGTGTATGAGACATTTATGATTTCCTATTCATAATGTGCTTTACAGTGACTTAACACGTGCTTATAAATAATAATAGCAGGCTTTCCAAGATCAAGGAAATCCTGAAACTATTAGGATTCTACAGTGGAAACTAATAAAATTGTGGGAAAGACATGAAGAAGTCTAAATGGTGTAGTTTTTAGTTCAAATTTATTGTCACACTTGTACATAGCAATACATAGTGTCTTTAACCAAATAAAAGTTAAAAGAAAACATATGAAATATTACAGAAATTAAAGGGGTCATATGATGTTGCTAAAAATAACATTATTTTGTGTATTTGGTGTAATGAAATGTGTTTATGCGGTTAAAGGTTCAAAAAACACATTATTTTCCACATACTGTACGTTATTGTTTCTCCTCTGTCCCCCGCCTTTCTGAAACGCGTCGATTTTTACAAAGCTCATCGGTCGGAAAAGCGAGGTGTGCTGTGATTGGCCAGCTATCCAGTGCGTTGTGATTGGCCGAATACCTCAAGCGTGTGACAGAAATGTTATGCCCCTTACCATATTGTGATGCCCTGTCCGGCCGGAGCGACGAGACAAAAACATGAAAACCCATTATAAACGAGACATTTGTTGCATCCAGTGGGGACATAATTACGGATTATAATGATTTATACTGTCTTTTTAGGCGTTGCATTGCATCGCGCCGCGTAAACATAAAATCATGTCTGCATTTGTGATCGGAGAAATGACAAACAACAAACGCTACTCTACACTGCCCAAAACTCACGTTTGAATCGTCAGTGGCAAATCTTTTAAATATGAAAAACGTACTTACAGTCTGTGAGTCAGAACAGCCGGCATTGTAGTCTACTCTTCCAGGATCAGGAAACAATCCTCCATAAAATGTGCTGCACACATCTGAATATTTGGTTTGAACTGTTCTGTTACAGTGTTGTAAATTCAACTTAACCACTGATTTGTAGTCGTGTACAGAGAAAGGAAACATTGAAATCGCATCATATGACCCCTTTAAATGCAGATGGAGTTACTGCAGGTGTTTTTCAATTATAAACACAATGTAAAAACATGCATGTAGACAATAAGTGCATTGTATCATAATTATATTTGAAATGTCAGTACATAGTATGATTTATACTATAACACATAATATAAAGTCAGTCTAAATATAATTCTACTAGAAATGTTTTTTTTCTTCCCTTTATTCAGTTCCATCACACAAAAGCACAATGCAAACAGGGAAACGTTGCACATCTCAAAGCATGCAAAACAGAACAACAAAAACGCAAAATGAATACAAACGTATATATATATATATATATATACACGTTTGTATTCATTTTGCGTTTTTGTTGTTCTGTTTTGCATGCTTTGAGATGAGATATATATATATATATATATATATATTATATATATATAAAATTCTACTAGAAATTGCTCTTACACGTCAAACACTTTGAGTTTTCAGTTTTAAAATGGCTCCATCTAGTGGGAAGGTTTTTATTAGACAAGACAATAATAATGTAGACTTCATAATTCAAATTGTCAAATAATGCTGCTTGTCTTTCAAAATAGATTGTCAAAGTATAGATCCTTAAGACGTTTGTGTGAATTCAGACGCCACCTCAGGATGTACGACTCTGTTTAGCCAGTAAAACACACTGATGTTTGAACAACTTCTGTGGTTGCTAGCTGCTGCAGGTCGTCTGCTTTTCTGACCTCCAGTAGCACATTTACAGAGTTGCTTCTTCCGTTTTGTCTCACCCTCAGTATTGCACCTTCCCATGCATAAGTAATGTAGGATAAAGTGTGCCTTGTTAATACAGATGAACAACGAAACTTGAAAACTAATCCTTAGTCTGATTGAGCTTTTATTGAGAAACCTCCTTTAGCTTTTTCGAGGGCATTAGTGTCATTGCCATTTGCCAAGTGTACATGTGTCCAAAGAAGTATCTTAATGGATAAATTAATGCTGTTATATAAAGAGCCTTTGTAAAAGACCCAGAATGATAACGCTTTCCTTTTCAGATTGATGATGGTGTGATGCTTTGCATTTTCTGTTGCTCACAGCTGCTGAATAAATGGTGTAACCTGTTTATTTGTTTAGTAGCATCTATTACATGCCATTTATCTTGTATTATCACAAAATTTCCTCTGAACAAATTAAATTGGCAAGAATAGGACAGTTGAAACATTCAAACAACCGTATGTTTGCACACACACAACCTTTTCTGTTTCTGAAATCCTTTACTGTTTCTGTGTTGTATTGCTGCTGATTGGATTTTCATGTATGTATATACAGAACACAAAGCCATATTCTCTTGAATTTACTGTTACTGTACACTTTGCTGGTGTGCATGATCATCTAGTGGGATTTGCACCTAAACTCTCGCTCCATTTATCTGGGATGAATGGCAGACAACTGTCATGACACTGCAGTCAATAAAGTAATATAGTGAGAAACACTTTCTTGTTTGTGTTTGTTCATTTTTAGCAGTATTTTGTGGCAGTTTTTGTAATCGATAACGAGACGGGTACCGGAAACTGCCCTCGTCTTGGAAATACGAGGTTCAACAACACACCACCAGGGGGAGACATTTACCTCGAAACACGTTGTACGGCGACATCCGCTGATTTTAACAAGAAGGAAAAAGCCCCGTAATTACGTTTGACAGTAACTTGTGATGCTACACTATTACTCCTAGATAATGATAACATTCTGTTCTTGGATTTCCCCCCGTATTTCTACGGTGAGTTTAGATATTAATTGGTCAATGTTATGATATTATATCATATAGCACTGTTAAGCTACCACTAAATATGGTAGAAACCTAATTTGCTGTAAAGTTGCTTTGCAACGATTTGTATGGTGAAAAGCGCTATACAAATAAACTTGAATTGAATATGCATGACCTAGTTGAGGTTAAATTTAGCTGTAAGGCTGGAAACTAATTAAAAACAGACATAAACTGTTTTTTTATGAACACAAACGTTTAGGGTACTTTTAAATAAAGGGAAGTCTATTTTCAGGTGATTATTTTCATTTTAATTTTGTAAAAATGTCTGTTTCCCTCCCTCATCTTTTAGCGTTTTGCAGGTCACTTGCAATGTGACATCAATCTGTAGCTTCTGTTTGATGGAAATTACATTTTACATTACATTTGGAATGTTGATCAAACTTTATAACGAGCAAAACTGTTGATTGTGGTGGAAATGACACCTGTGGGCTAGCTGCAATCTGTGCAAAAAAGCACTCAGTAAACACTGATTTCTGCTTGAATTATTAGGTAGTTTTAATATGATTTAAGAAGAGTCAAAAAGTTGTTTTTAATATTATCACTTCATATTACTGTTACTATTTATTACGTACTATTTTATACTGCTGTAGAAAGTTCTGGTCATGTATTAATGAAAACTAAAGAGTGCTGTACAGATCATAAAAAACATTGTGTTACTGAAGATATTGGAATAGAAATGTTTTGCTTTCACAACCAGATCTATATGTTAGAGGTATGTGTGTTGGCTTGTTTGGCTGGTGAAGGTGTCTGGATATAAATGTACACATATGTGCGATGTAGTAGGAGGTGACGACTGTGGTGAGAATGGTGAGATCTCTCATACTGTACACTCTGGAGACTGAAGGAGTCTTCCTGCTCTCATTACAAATTCGCTGGACTGGTTTCTATGAACCATATCAGCTTAACCTGATTATGATTTAGATCTGATGCTGACAATATCATTGGTGTTAGGTTTTGATGTAATCATTTTAGTGTATTATTTCATTTGATCACTGTTGTTGTTGTTAATACTTTTCCACAAATGTTGCAAATACAGTACACCTAAATTAATATGCGCATTGTAATGTCAAAATATTTTGATACTATAATTTTTATGTTTACTTGTAAAACGCACTCCAATGATCATTGGTTTTGTTTAACTTTGAAAAATAATTGTTTACAGTGAAGGAAAATTCTCTATTTTGAATAGTAAAAATAACTTTGTGTACAGAAAAACAGTAGTTTCTTACAGTTTGTAGGTGCATCACACAATGAAAAAAATAGTTCAACTAAAAGGTTCTTTAAGGAACTAAAAATATTTGATAAAAAATAGTTTATAGTTGTAGAACGGCTGAACGATAGACAGTACGGCAGAAAAATAGATGGATGGACAGAATGATAGAATAGATAGAAACTATAGAATGTCAGACAGACAGACAGACAGATAGATAGATGATATACTGTAAGATCTGAACTTTGCTTCAGAAGTGTAATGTACTTCAGACCCTTCACAGTGTGTGTGTTTGTGTTTCATGAATTTAAATGTCTTTGCAGTGCTTCCTCTTGCCACAGCTGACTCATTACACAACAGAGCCCTGAACCTTTCACGAAACACCGCACACAAACACACTGCCACACAAAGGGCTCCATTCTGGCCTGATGGTGTGCAGAGTGTGTGAAGAGAAGGTCAGGGGAGGGCCAGATCAGTGTGTGTGTGTGTGTGTCTGTGCATTAGTGGCTTTGACACACTCATTAGAGCAGATGTGCTGCTGCTGCTGCTGCAGTGGCGGCTGCCACTTCCTCCTCCTGGCTTGTGAACACGGGCAGCTGTTGAGCAAAGGGCCAACGTCTGCCTGATCCCTGACCTCAGCTCCACCCCAGCCCCCAGCTCCAACGGGGGCAGGGCCAGGGGCCGCCAGATGGGGGCTGGCTGTGTGTGCAGGGGGGTGTTTATGAGTTTAGAGTACTGGCTGTTGCTTTTTGGGGGGAAACTTGTGGAGTTTGTGTTTGTCTGTGGGGCATAAGGGCTGGGGGTTGGGTTTTGGAGGGAGGTTATAGACGCAACACATGGCTCAGAAAAACATTAGCCGAGAGGGGAGTCCGAAGTGTTTCGGAGGAGTGGCGTGCAGCCGTTTATTGACATTGTTTTAGCCAGGAACTACTTTTTGGTTACACTTTATTTTAAGTTACAATGTAATTATACATTAAGTACTGAGTAATATTAATTAACTACATGTACTTACTATATATAGGGTTAGGATTAGGGTTTGGTTTAGGGTTACTTGCATGTAATTATGCATCCCTTATTGTTATTATAATAGTAAGTAGATGTAATGTGTGTAACAAGGACACCTTAGAATAAAGTGTTACCTACTTTTTCTATTAGAATTATAGAATTATAGCAGTGCAGTTCAATTCAAGTTGAGCTTAACTGACAGCACTTGTGGCATGTTGGTGATTATTAAAATTAATTGTAAACAAAATACTTGTAGTTTCATGAGTTGAGCAACATGATGTAAACAATAAATGTAAATTTTTATGTAAAAAAAGGGAAAAAAGCGAACTCGCCTTATATGAGAAAATGTATTTATGTTTCAAATCTGTTGTCATGACAGTGTAATACTTAAAACCCTAAAGTGACAGTAAAAAACTTAAATAATAAACAAGTTTTAACAGGAAAATGAATGTTAGTGCTTTTATAAAATTATAACCATCTCATTTTTCACTTCTAAATGCTCCAAAAATTGGCCCTATTTACTTCCATTCTAAGTGCCTCACTGTAACAGATAGATAGATAGATAGACAGACAGACAGACAGACAGACAGACAGACAGACAGATAGATAGATAGATAGATAGATAGATAGATAGATAGCTTTTTTTTAAATAACTAAAAAAATTAAATGAGGGATGAGTGAAGATCATTTCCTGTGATAATCAACATTGCCACAAATGTTGTGGATTGAGCTTAACTTGTGTTGAACCCGGAATATTCCTTTAAATGGTATCCATAGTTGAAGTCAAAATGACTGTAACTCAATATTTGTTGGCAGGCAAGGCACACACATGCACAATGGTGATCATTGCTGGAAAAGGCAGCACTTTGAAGCGTGGCCCTCTTTAAGTTCATCGTCCACCCTGTGGTTGGACAGCAGTGGGAGTCTGTGGCTAGCTCTGCCTGGACATTTGCTTCCCCATGTCTCCAGACCAGACAGGTGTTGCGTCAGCAGCGTCCAGACTCGTTTCAGCAGCTGCTGCGCTCGTCCGCACACACGCACACTCTCTCGTACACACCTCCCCCAACTGACAGATGTAGCCACACCACCCAACTAGCTTTATGGAGCCAGAGATGTTTTGACTTTAAATATTTGCCCAGGAGGGATTGCCCTGTTTGGGCAAGGCTTGTAGTGCTGCACGGCTGGGTGTAATAGGACGAGAACAACACGGACTGGCCGACAAAGAGGCACGGCCTGTACAAACACATAAACCTGCCAGCAGAACTGGAAGTCTGCAGGAGGGTGAAGTCTTTAAGTTATGTTCAGATGTTCGCCAATTGTTATACAGGAGCTCCAAAATGTGTGTGGACACTTCTGGATACACAAGTGACACTTAAAAATGTTTGACGAATATTATTACAATTTAAACAAAATATTACACCAGGTGGCATCTGAAAACAAATGATTCACTTTATTTTTTGAGCTGTTTTGTAATTAATTTTAACCAACTAGAGTCATGATGATTTTAGTGGGTGTGTAAAATGAGTTTGCACAGGTGTCCCAACACAGTATCTCCAGGTGTAGATCATCACAGTAACTATGAACGTCCCACTAACATATGACAACCACAAAGTCCAAAAAAGTCCAAATATTATTTATGATCATTTTTCATTTATCTGTAAATCTATATGTGCATCTATGTATTTGAAATAAATATAGTATATATAGATTTAAATGTATTTATTATTATTATTTATATTAATTATATTTTATTATATTTTTACATATATATATATATATACATATACTATATATATATATATATGTGTGTGATTATAGCACATCTATAGATTTCTATATATCTACATCTATATATTTTAAATATATTTATATATATATATTTCAATTATTAATGTATTTATATATTGATATATATATACTTTTACATTTATATTTATATTTCATATAAAGTATATATATATACATACTGTATATACTCACACACATACAGACATAAAATGATAGCACATATCTATATATTTTGTCTATATATATATATATATATATTATATATATTTTTATATTGATTTACATTTAATTCATTTTTCATATTTATTATATTTTATATTTATACACATTTGTATAACTATTATTTGCTTTTTATATTTGTATATATATTAATATTTTATGTATTATACACAATATTATGTTTTATTAGGTAAATCAATTTATTTATGTATGCATTTATTTATTTTACGTGAAATGCTAGTTTGCATGCTTTTGATGGTTTCCAATGCAAAGGCCTACATTTTTAAGCGTGACTCAAGTGTCCAGACACTTTTTGTGGCCACTGAATGTGATAAAGACCCTCAATGCTACATGCAAGCTGGAATTTTTTTTCTTATGATAAAACCTCTTGTAACTGAGAGATTTCAAAGCTGCACTGAAAGGGAAAGGTAATCCAGCTAGATGCACCACCTCAGAAGAAACCTATAAGAAAGCACTGTCTCACCATCTGGGCCTGTACTCGCCCATCCCATTAGGACGCCACATTAAAGAGCAGGTACAGTAATTGCGAGAGCCGGCCTACAGGAGCGCAACCTGCAATACTTTCACTTGTCCAAAGAGAGAGAGAGGCAGAGGGAAAAACTTTCCTCGCACAGCAGATTCATCTTGCAACAGCTTCTAAGGACTGCCAAACAGATGCCAGTACAATTGCTTGTCTTTTTTCCTCTTCCCCTGCAATCTAAGTATGGCGCCCATATGGCTGCAGCTGAAGGGAGTGATTGTTGGTATTGTTCATTTTGTCAGTGATCCTGGGCGATGCGGGAGCACTAATGATAATGCTGTGTGCAGATGTGTGTTGGGTGCAGACGCTCATTGAGGAGGGCGACTCTTCACTCATTCACTCTCTGAGGCCTGCTTGATCTCAGGCTGGGACGGGGACGCAGCTCATGACATCAACAAGAAGAGGCAGATGTTTTTGGTGGTGGAATGACTTGAATGTGTCAGATTTGTTCTACATATTTACTTCAAGAATATGTTGGTGAAACAAAACTAGTCACTGAGACATTCAGAATGAGGAAATGAAATACAGACGTGAAGCTGAAATTAAGAGCGTCTGGCTTTAATGAAATTCAGTGTTGAGGTTGAGCTACTGTTTCTGACAAATGACCCACCCCCTCAGATTTTCAAACCAACTGGATTTTAATTGCAACTTTCAAATAAATGTGTCTTTAATAATTAATTTAAATGATTATCGTTGGTTAAAAAGTGTTTGTCTAAAACACTGTGGCAGAAAATCACCCAATCACATCCAAAAAAATAATTCTGCCATGATCATTTCTGTAATGATAAAAGTTATTATAAGAGTGTATTTTACCAAATAGATGCTAACAAATAGAAGTCATGTTTGCCAGGTGAGGTAAGTCAATAAAACTAGAAAAATACTGTCATTATTGTAGATATACTTATCACATAATAATTGATGCTAATTGTGCAAATGGTGGCAAATAACAATTTGTTTTATATGCATCGAACCTTGACAGACTGCGGCTTCAAATTAACATTTGATCATTTAGAAGCGATGTTATTAGCAGTATTTAAATAGGCTACTATCATTTATTCATATTTTAAATTTTCATATTTTCATAAAATTTTACATTTTAATTTCGTTATACACTGTAAAATGATTTTATTTTTATTTTCTGTTTATTTTATTATAAGATTATTTGAGTATGTTTTACAAGAAAATACAATTTTAGTATTTCTGCTTAAAAATTTTACGTTTAATTCAATTTATTACTTTCCATTACTTTGTAATTATTTGTGAAATTCACTAGCAATTTCTGATTTAGTTTTTTTCATTGTGTTTTTGGAAATTTTTCTTCATCTTCTTTTTAATATTTATATTTAGCTTTATTTTTATTTTCAGATTTGGTTTTAGTAACTTAAGTACTTCAACTTAAATTATTTGATTTCAGTTATTTGCCAAAGCCACAGTTTTATTTTTTATGTAAGTTTTTTTTTTCAGATAATATTTATATTTTGTCTTATACCTTTATTTCAACAACTGAATTTTTTTTTATAGTTTTAGTTAGTGATAGTTTAGAAGACCCAAAATCCCTAAATTTCTATAAAATTCCTTTAAAAAAAGCTGGAATTCATGTCAAATGTGTGGCGTTCTTCATGTCTTATCCTGCATAGGTACCAAGCGAGCCAAGACTGCCACTTATGCCTTTAAAACAAAGTGCCTGTAGTGTTTACTTGGTTGTAAAATATGTCTTGTTTGTCAAAGTTCCCTCATCACAAACGCCTAATAACCTGCAAACTCAGAGGCATTTTCTGCACAAATCTATGCTAAATACACAGACAAAATCAAGAGGCCTTTTGGAGGACGCATCAATGTTAAAAGTACCAGTATCTCATCCGTCCTCCTTCAGGATTTCTTTTCAGCTCCCTGCCAAGGTTGCTGTGCGGTGGTGGATAATGCAGCATTGTGAGAGGGAATGTGGCATGTTGGCTGTGCCAGGTCCCACAGGCTGAGCCCACGTTCTCTCTCCCTAACCCAGTTCAGGATGTGCGCATTAATCCTGCGAGTCGGCCTCGGGCCACTCTGAGTTGCTGCAGGTTGGTGGAGGCGACAGATGGGGCCCGCGCTGCCGGACCTCGCAGTGAGCGGAGAGCTTGGCATCTCCGGCTGAGACGACAATGCTCCTCTTTGTACGCAAACTAGCTCACGACAAAAAAGTCATATGCATACTATGGTTAACTGTTATTGTATACCAAAAATGCATTGACACTAACATCCTTATGGTAATGTTTGTATGGATGTGAGGTCTGTATTGGCATGGTCATATCTGGAAGGTGTTGGAGTGTGATATTCTGCTCTAACAGCGTGTCTGTTCTTCATGTGGAGTTACAACCACATGTGTAAAGAGTGTCTGAGCCCTGCTGAGTCACACGTTTGGGGTGGACAGGTGTGGGGTCTCTTTAGAAATGACTATTGCAGGAACTGAGCTGCAGAACACCAGGAAAAACAAAGCTTTTACAACACACAGAAAGTGTCTGTAGAGTGTGCACTGACCTGTTGGTTAACTACTTTTTATAATTTAAAACAACTATCTTCCATTTGAATATATTTCAAAATCGAATTTATTCCTTTGATGGCAAAGCTGGATTTTCAGCATCATTACTCCAGTCTTCAGTGTCACATGACCCTTCAGAAATCATTCTAATATGCTGATTTGCTGCTCAAGAAACAATTTGTATTATTAATGTTGAAACATTTGTGCCGCTCAATATTTTTGTGAAAACTGTGACATTTTTAATAGTGTCTGATAAATAGAAAGTTCAAAAGAACAGCATTTGTCTGAAATAGAAATCTTTTGTAACATTTAAATGTCTTTACCATCACATTAAAATGACTGGCTCCAGACTTTTCAACAGAAGTGTATATGATATTTTTCTGCAAGGTATGGATACCTTTTTTAATATAGGTATATAAACAGATGTATATATGCAATGTCTATCTGACCCCCCCCCAATAAGGTCACATCACTGCACCCAGGAGAAGTGCTGACTCGCTGCTGCCTAAATCCTGCCAAGACCCCCTATCAACATCCCACACCCTGCTGCCCACTTATCTACAGTGGGCAGAAGTGCTACCAACAGCTGGTTCTGAGAGAAAGAAACAGCCGACCAAACGAGTCACATCAAGGGTTTGCCGGGCCTCCAACATTGAAAGGCAGTATAACAAGGAAATGCAAGAGTCCTCTAAAACATAATTTCTGGTTGAAGTGTTGAACTGTATTGGCTAATATATGTAAGGGATCATGTAAAGTCAACCTGTCATTATAGCACAATAAGTCTCAGATTAAGGAGTATTTCATAATAATGACTGATTGTACATTATAGCACTTCTTACCATTTAAGTGGACATGAAATATTGATTTGAGCTGAAATTATTATTTTTATTTGAGAAGCAGGAGAGCGAAAAGTAGAGAGACATGTCAGAAACACAGCTAGGAAGTCTGTTGTTTGGGACAACTGTCAGTTATAGTCATTAGTAGTCATCATGCTGAAATATGTGAACACTGAATGCCACAAATGTTCAATCAGAACCAAGTATTTCAGACAGCTGTTTGATCAAATCACTGTATAAAAATCATAGTATACACAATACTGTTTATAAGTTTAGGGTCAGCAGGCTTAAGAAATCAATACTTTATTCTGTAAAGACAATAAATTGATCAAAAAGGACAGGAAAGACATTTATATTGTTAGACAATATTTCTAATTCAAATGAATGCTGTTGTTTTAAACTCTCTATTAAAGACATTTTCAAAAAATTATTACATTTAAAAAATATTAAGCAGCCGTTTTCAACACTGATAATAAGAAATGTTTCTTGAGCAGCAAATCAGCATATTATGATTTCTGAAGGATCATGTGACACTGAAAACTGGAGTAATGGTATGATTATAAATAGAATAGAATAGAGTTTTTCAAAAACCATTGCTATAAATGAATTGCAATCAAGTGATATTCTTCCACAGGACAAATATTAAGAGGTAAAGGATTTGCATTACTTTTTGAAGGTTTTTTAGCATTACATTTAAAGTCTCCTTCAAACATTTCAATGTCAGTTGTACAAGTTTTTGGATTTGAAAATGTTAATATAAAAATCGACAAACTCTTTAAACTCTCCTGTTCACTGATTTGCAGTTCTTCTCCATCATCATTTAGTACATATGACAACCCCCCTTCTTTCTGCTACAGAAGATTCATACAAAAGAAATGTTGTGTTTTATCTGTGCTCAAGCGAGCTCCACAGACCCCTGAATGTGCTTGTGTGGAGAACCCTGTCTGCACCTCTCACTCCTCACCAAACAGCACCACAACCTACACTCACACACACACACACACACACACACGCATAATAACATTTAAGTTGGGGTTGCGTCTTCTTTTGTTGGGGGACGCAGGGTGCATGGCGTACCCCTCCCTAAACCAAAAATATTCCCCCATGCAGACCCCTCTCCCCCACCCCTGACAGGCTGTAGCACCACTGCATTGTCTGAAGGGCCAAGACAGGCCGCTTGTTGCTTGCCTTCTGTCTGTGTGCACAGGGCGCTCAACAATGGCTGCCTTTTAAATGAGGCAGACAACTGAAAGAAAAAAGACATCGTCCCTCCTGCCTGCTTTTCTCACCTTTTATCTGCTCAGCCCTTGTACTTTCTCTTTCATGTAGGACTTAATGCTCCTTTCATTCCCTTAAATTCTTTACATCTTAACTGCTGGCTGCAGTTGAATTTCCAGCACTTTTTGGACTCTTCATGAGTGAAAATTTTCTTTCACCAAATTGTGGTGAATATGAAAATGTTAATATTTAGGTATATTAATGTTAATAAGTATTATTACATATGTATTATGTTTATATTTATTGATTAATAAGACAACGCAATTATATAATATACTCACGGTAACCTGTTTTATTCAGACAGGAAGAAGAAATGAGCGGTGGGCTTTTATGTTTCTACATTTTTTAGTCTATTTCTGTATTTGTCAATATCAATTTGAGTTTATTTTCATATTTCTATTTTTATTAATATATCTAACCTTCATGTTCTGTTGAAATTTTAAGTTTGAATGTCCCAGAGACCCATATTGTGTAATAATTATAATAGCAATTTTTAAATGAACCTCATTTCCCATTCAAATTACTTTAATGTTAATCAGCACCTCTGGCTGCAGTTGAATTTCCAGCACTTTTTGGACTCTTCATGAGTGAAAATTTTCTTTCACCAAATTGTGGTGAATATGAAAATGTTAATATTTAGGTATATTAATGTTAATAAGTATTATTACATATGTATTATGTTTATATTTATTGATTAATAAGACAACGCAATTATATAATATACTCACGGTAACCTGTTTTATTCAGACAGGAAGAAGAAATGAGCGGTGGGCTTTTATGTTTCTACATTTTTTAGTCTATTTCTGTATTTGTCAATATCAATTTGAGTTTATTTTCATATTTCTATTTTTATTAATATGTCTAACCTTCATGTTCTGTTGAAATTTTAAGTTTGAATGTCCCAGAGACCCATATTGTGTAATAATTATAATAGCTATTTTTAAATGAACCTCATTTCCCATTCAAATTACTTTAATATGTTAATCAGCACCTACACTCTTAAAAAATAAAGAGGGCTTTCACAGCAATGCCATAGAAGAAACATTTTGGGTTTCTAAACACTGTTTCAGTGAAGAGTTTTTAATAGAACCTTTTTTTTTGTGAACAACATTTTAATAATCTGAAGAACCTTTTGTAGAATGAAAAGGTTCCATGGACGTTAAAGGTTTTTCGTCTGTTTCTTCAGGACAGAAATGTGATCGTATTCATTCATCAAGAAAAAATGAAAAATAAAATAAATGCATAAAAAAGTATCAGAGTATCAATTTTCTCTGGGGGTCTCTGAGAGCCTAAATATAATTAATGTAACACTGAGGACAAAAGGGTTATCAAATTTGTTTATAATTAATTGTGTTTATAATAATTTCTTTTAAGACTAGGAAGTGTCATTAAGAATAAACCTGACACTTTATAATCTCCTCAAATCCAAGCAGAGCAGGATGGTTAATGACGTTCAATAAATGCACTAACTTCACAGAGCACAGCATCTGCTGCGGCTCCTCTTGGAACGCCAGCAAACAGAAAGGCCTCTTCCTGTCTGTGCTTCTCTAATGTACATTATATTTGGAGCTGGTCACAGAGTATGGCGAGGCACTCGGCAGCTATCTGCGTGGGCAGAATCAGTCATACCTCAGTGCAACGGCTGCCCTATCGATGCCATGTGTGCCGCTCTCCCCCAGAACGCTGCCTGGCACGCGGCTCCCGCTAACTTCTCCGGTGGAGCTACATATAGAAGCCCAAGCTGGTAACACACTCATCACATCGAGCCCACTACCCTTCGGCATAGCCAAATGTTTCCACAGCTGCCCCTTTGTCTCTGCTCCTTGAGTAAACAAAGGACAGATACAAATTAATGACCTAAATTCATAGTAAAAAAGCAAAGAGAGAAAACCATTATGCTCCAACTGTCCGTTCCAACCAGATGTTAGATGTAGATTTGTATGTGAATGTCACAAATCAAATCTCAGCTCTCTTGAGAAAATCAGCAAAAGAGTGCACAATATTGTCGAGAAATACAAAACAATAAGGCGCTATTCAGACTTCCTCAATAATACAAGCGGAAATGGATCTTAAGTCCAAAACGAGTTTGAAAACTAAATCTTGCACCAATTAGGAGGAGGTGCCGTGTGTGTGTGTGGAAGGGGGGCAGGCTTACAGCACGGGACCATCTGTGGCAGTGGCCTGTTGAGTAACGCTCGATGAAGTGGTCAGCCTTTAGTGCATCTGTAGGCCAGGTTTGTCGAACAGTGAGACATTAGATAAAGCTGATTTGTTTGCTGGAAAACTGTACTTGAGGAGCTTTGAAAGCAGCCTGTGTGTGTGTGTGTGTGTGTGTGTGTGATCTGTGATGCAGGGGGAGGGGTTGGTCTTCGTACAAGCTGCTGCACATTTTCCCAGGTCCAACCCACGCCTTTACTGGAGCACCAGCCAGACATTAAAGCAGCATATACACGAGCCATGTAAGACCGCGTACACTCACGCTCACGCACACACACACACATCCGGACAGTATACTCAATCCACAGACCTCACGCACTGGAAAACATGTTTCCACCCACACGAGCATCTACAGTAAATAAGATTATTGAACTGAATGCAAAAAACACAAACACCGTCTCACCAATCTGCACATTGTCATTGCTCTGGCAAATCCCGCCAGAAGTTTCTGACAGAAAAATGGCACGGAGAGGTTAAGGTTCTTATAATTTATTGCAGTTTGCACACAATTTAAAAATTTCACCAACAGCACACCAAAAGTACAAAACTAAACAGCCTCATAATTTACTTCCCTTGAGAAAATGAAACATACTATGATTGTCAAAGCTAAATGTCTAAATCCATAAAAAGAACAATGTCAACATAGCCAAAAAATCTCAGAAGGGAAGCAATTACATGTGAAGTTGAATCTTCTTTTTTTCCCCATCCAGACAGCGATTGTCCTTGAATTCAACAGATATTTATTATTTTCTTTCCCATACTCATTAGCCACCAAGTTTGAATTTGACAGTTGTTCTTCACACTGGGGTTCCTGGGTTTCAAGTAAACTAAAGGGGTGTCTAATTTATGGATATGCTTCATAGGCCATTTCACAGCTTAATTTCCATTGAACAAAAAACAAACAAAAAAAAGTCCAAGAAAGACATCCAGTATTCCAGCGACAGTTTCCAGTTTTCACCCTCTGAGTATAATATGATAACAGTAGTTTAAGGCGGTCAAGTACAATAGAAGCCAACAAAAAACATAAAGAAAAGGAGAGCATAGAAAACAAATCAACCCCACAGTTGATTTTTTTATCTGTCACAGACATTTTAGAGTGCAAAAGGTAAAAGTACCACCGTGCAAAACGCCATGAGGAGCGTGCGCTGTTGGCAAAGCTCAACCTTTTCACTAGCCGTTGCACCAGCCAAATATATGGTAGGATAGTTCCTGAGGCCTGCGTAGGCCCGTGTGCCGCACACTCCTGTCCTGCTCCAAACATGTGCGGAGCCCCCGGCCCTCTCTAACTAAAGTAGTTCAAGCATTTCAGCACTATGTGAATGACTGATCTACGTCTACAGCGCGAAGCCATATGCGTTTCATTTTTCTTTGCTTTTTATTTCTCTGGATTTGACAATGAAATTGTTTTTTGTGAAACAAACAAACAAAATGAACAGAATTTTCACATTGTTAATAAAAGAAATCTTAGCAAATTAAAAGAAAAAATAAAACATTTTCAAAAGAAACATTTTTCGAAATCACAAATGCTGCAAAAGTTAACAATCACAAATGTATAGATCTTTTTTCAGTGTAACAAAGTCCATTCAATTAGGTTATAATTAAGCGTATACATTTCATAAAGGCCTCTTTTGCACATCATTCTAATTTCATTAAGCTTCAAAGGTGCAACCAACCTTGCCAAACACGTTCTAATGACAAAAAAAAGGACTTATGTATTGAACACAAACACACGCATACAAACCACTCAGATCAGAGTGTGTCGAGCTTTATGCTGTTTAAAGATCCTTCAGCTTCTCCAAATAGATGTGCGCTGCTGAGGACACCCATAAAGAAGAGCTGTACCATCAGCCACGCAAATGTGTCTTCATGGCAATCGAATCTGAAGCAAGTGCCAATTGAAAAGATAAATAAATAAATTACAAACAGAGCCGACATGATTCAAATGACAACAGCCAGTAAACAGGACACTGAGACAAACAGCAGTTGAGGACCCAGCACTGGGAAGAGCAGTGCGCAAGGAGATGCTAGCAGGAGCCATGCTAGCATTCTGAACAATAAATGTAGCGATCCAGCCTCTGCTGACACCTGGCCCCTCGTTAACCCCCGAATCCTACAGCGAGCCCGAACCGAATCGCGTCTCGTGTGTAGATACTGCAGCCTAACGTCAGTGCATTTCCACAATCTTCACAGCCCAGAAAAAAAACACCTCACCAGAACCCCAGATTCATTCTCTAATAAGAGGAAAAAACTCAAATCTACCAAGGAATCAAATGAGTTAATTAAAAAATACACTCTCTGATGCAAAACAACAATGAAAAAGAGTAAGTTAAATAAAATGCATGCAATTTCTACAGCGGTAATATTAAAGGTACTTTTTTTTTTCTCAACAGACAGGTGCCCTGACTGTAATGAATCAGTCAATTACAGTGTACAGCAATACAGCAAGTCACATCTTTTTCAATATACAGGTCAGACATCATGCAACAACAGATTCCGTTTTAAAAATGAAAAATCTTAATAAAACACTACAGAAATCTCTAGAAATGCAGCTGATGTAAAAACCAACCTCATAGCAACCGAGTGATGTAGAGCAACCGCAACTAAAACGCGAAAATGACGTCAAATCATATTAAGAAAGATAAAAAAAAAAATGCGGCAACTGATATGAAAAAGGAGGCTGTACATTGCATGAGTGCCTTGTTTGTCTTCCATCAGTCAAGTTTCCTATAACGAGTCAAAAATGTACAAGAGCTTAAGTAACACGAGCTTAGAGCTTCCTCATGGGATTTAAAGGACTGACCTGCTCACACACTACATGTGTACATGTGCGTATGCGCATGAATACACATGCACGCATGGCCACAGTCACACATCAGGTATGTTATCTGCAAATTATAGTAGTGCACTATATATATATATATATATATATATATATAAATACACACACACACATACTCAAACAAGAGGCGAGTGTATACAGGTAAATATATGACCATAGTACCCGTTTAGTGTGTCCTTAGTTTTAAACTCCTCTGTCTATTACCTGAAATCTTCATATGCTTTTCATGGCAGATGTTCCTTGAAATTTAGGAGTGTATACAAATACTGTAAATTATATACAGTTGAAAATCCCAATGAATCATTTTTCTGTCAAAGTTGGTCACTGAGACCAGCACCCATGTTTTCTAAAAACCCAAGGAGAACAGGAAAAAAGAAAAGAAACCCAAAAGAGACCAGAAAATATATTAAAAGGAAATCAGTAGTAACATTTTCATGTGCTAGTAAAGTGCAATTCAACAAGATTTGCAATATACATACAAGAAAAATGACTGATTCAGACCCTTCGGCCGTCACTCCGCCCCACTCTTACCTTCACCTCTCTGCCCCAACAAAATGCCACTCAGATCTCTCTCATTAATTTAACAAACAGTTCAAACAGTCTGCTATCAGTTTAGATTTCATTTCCACAGTTCTTGAGAACTATCTTCCAGTGCCCAGTCTCTGACAGTGGGTAGATTGAGCGACTCGCTCTTGACCGAGAGCGAGTTCACCAGTTCGCAGTGGAACTTGCGGATGTGTCGGTACAAGTCCCCTGACTGCGTGAAGCGCCGCTCGCACCACTTGCAGGCGTGCGGCTTCTCACGCGTGTGCACGACGGCGTGTCGGCTTAGGTTGTGCGAGTACTGGAAGCTCTTGCCGCAAGTAGTGCATGTGTAGGGCTTCTCGCCCGAGTGTGTCCGCTCATGACGCTTTAACGTGTACATGCAGGAGAAGGTTTTGCCGCAGATGGAGCAGGTGGGGACATTGACGTCGCCGGCCGGCTTGGACCGTACACCTTCCTGCTCGCGGAAATGCGTGCTGAGGTGGATCTGCAGGATGTGTGGGCTGGGGAAGACCTTGTTGCATAAGGGGCACATGAAGATCTGAGTATGTGGAGCCCCTAGCATGCTGGAGACGTAAGGCAACAGGGAGTTCTCGACCCCCGCGGCCTCGTGCGCTCGCTCGCTGTCCCCTCCTAAGATGTCTGTGTCGTCGTCGCCTCCTTTGTCGTCCCGCTCCAGCTCGCTGGCCAGCGAGGCCTCACGCAGGGCCGAGAGGTGAGCCTCGAGGCCCAAGCGCCGTTGCGCCACGAGGCTGATGCGAGTCCCGTTGGTGCTGGGTGGCTCCTTGACACCGCTGTGCTCCATCTCGTAGTCGCCGCTCACCAGCTCGTCATCGTCCGAGCCCGTGTCCTTTTCCACCTTGACCTGAACCAGGGCACTCTGGAGGCTGTCTGGGGTCACAGAGCTGCAGAAATAAGGGTTGCCAGCCATGGTCTCCCCAGGACCTCCGCCCAGACCGGACTTCACAGAGAGGTCAAGCACGCAATCGGTGTCAGCGGAGACTCTCCGAGACACAGCCGAGCGACGGGACAGGGAGCCTGTGGAGCTGCTGGGGCTGCCGGCAGGAGATTTGCCAGCGTCGGGGCCATGTGTTTCCGCCTCCCTGGGGCTAGTGGTGGGAGACGTGGTCCGGTCGGAAGGCAGACGCATCCACATGCTCCCCGGCTCCTGAGGGCTGTCCCGCTTGTTCGCCATGTCCTCGTCGTCACTCTGCAGCAGGTCGGCGGTGGTCGGCCGGCCCGTGCTTCCACCTTCCGAGAAGCTCTCCACCTTGTCCGAGCAGCTGGAAGCATCCTCCTCCCGCTTGGTGCTGTCGGCCTCGGCCGTGGCCTTCTGCTTGAGCTTCTTCTTACACACTTTGACGATGTCGTACATGTGGAGGTAGCTGGCAGCAGCCAGCACATCCTCCACTGGAAGCGATTTGAACTGGAGCTTTCCTTCGTACATGAACTCAAGCAGGAGAGCGAAGGCCGGGGCCGTGACAATGTCGCTGTTCAGATGAACAATGTCCCTTTTGTCTAGCTGGTCCTTGTAAAAGAGGTGGAAGTACATGCTGCATGAAGCCAGCACTGCACGATGGGCTCGGAACTGGGCATCACCGACCAGCACAGTGGAGTCACAAAGGAATCCCTGATGCCTCTGCTCGCTCAGACACTGTAGCAAATGTCTGCTGTGGTCTGGAAACTCCATGCTGTCTTCATAACCTGCAAAAGACCACAGATGTTAGTGAGACTCTCTAGAACAACAATTGTTTTGTCTGCAGCTCTGTGTGGAACTTCTCTCTTTTCCCACCCGCTCCGTCCCCTCTCTCTCTCTCGCTCCATACATACATACTCTCGCACTCTAATTCTCTCTCCCTCCCTCCCTCCACCCCTGTGGGAACACTGGAAAAATGTTCACCACAGTCATGACATAAAAGGATTACTAAAAAGCACATGCAAAAAGTATATCATCACAGATTATATATTAGGCTAATTGCATTTTCCTCGCTTGGGCACTTTAAGGTACACAGAAGTGCGTTTAATATTACATTTTACACTAACCCTTTTAATTAAAAGTTTAAAAGCACGAGACCAGGGAAATTAACGCAAAAATGTAAATGAAAAATATCCCAATTGTAAATTAAATTTAAAGCAATACTGCCGTACGTATCCCATCAGTACCATTCGGGTATAATCAGATGGCGTGGTGTAAGGAGCTAAAGTCCTGATTCCACAGATGCCTGCGTGAGAGAATCTTTCCTGTTTTTTCTCGCTGTGCTCCTGGAGCAGTTATTTATAATAACCCACTTTGGCCAGGACACCAAGTATAGGTAACAGGCTTACAGGTACACAAACAGCTCACCATCATGGGCACACTGCATAAGTATACTAAGTACCATGATCTCTGAGGTTACGACAACTGAGGTAGCAGAACATCAGCATGCGTAATCAAAGTCGGACAATCTGCAAATAAAATATGCACTAAAATATATATTATCTTTACAAAACACACATAAACAATTTACAAACTAAAAAAGTTGAAAGTAAAATAAACACAAAAAATTATGAAATCACACCTGTTACCCGCGAAGATCGTTCCCGTCTAAAAAAATGCACCGGCGTCATGTTCAAGCAGCGGACTTAAATGAACTCATTTGAATCTTCATTTAAATCTGATTGGGATAGCAAGCCAAAGCCCCCCACCCTACCCCAAACAGCGTTCAGACCTTCATTAATGAGGGGCTTATAGGGGGACAGGGGGATAACAAACCTCTCGCCAGCCCTCTCCTCCCCCTTTTCCCCTCCCCAAATCTTTGGAGAAATGGAACATCCTCCCCAAAGAGGCGGTCCACAGCAGATTTACAATACAATCACTTTAAGTGCCCCGAAGTCCACATCAATCCTAATCTTTAAGATGGCTAAAAATAAAGATTGCAGGACAGCTCACAAGGTAGCAGCGATCAAATTAGGAGACTGGGAGGACAGAGAGGGACGGAGAAGGAGGCTTATGAACATCTGATCCAGCTGACTGAGACCATATGGCAGCTGCTGCCCAGATAAAGAGATTAAGACTAGGAGGAGTGCGATTACAGCTGTCTAGCCAATTCAGGCAGCTCAAATCTGCAAGTTCTAAATTAGTCCTTACAAACAAGAAAAAAAGGAAAGAGTTGAGCAAAAGCCTGACGAAGGGACGTTTTGAAGAACGCGCGATTATATAAAGTTGCATATTTATTTTTGCTAAAAGCATTTCTGCATTTTTGGTCGTTTTACAAGATTTAGAAGATCTCGTTACTTAAAGAAAAAACAGGTTTTATAATCGCATAAGAGTTTCTAGTTTTAAATCTGTAATACTATAATGAACTACCCTACCAACGCCACTCTATACTGTCACAACAGAGCAACAATTTGTCATTGAGAACGAAGTAACCGAATAGAAGACCTGCAAACAAACAGAATAATCAAACGCTTGCATGGAAACCTCTTCATGGCAACAAAAAGTGTCACTTGTCCCCCAGCCTGGTTACACTACACCAACTCGAAATCCTTTACTTCCCATTTCACACACTCTGATGGCTGATGGCAGATGCGCAAAAAGACTTAATGAGAGCTCCCTATTCAAAACACATCCCTGTTGCCCGGACCCCCCAGTACAGTACCTGCAGTACGCATCAACTTGATTAAGTCCACTGTTGTGGTAGCGCCGGCTGTAACTCCCTTCGCCGAATCAATGAAAGGGTAGAGACGTGAGAGAAAGAGAGAGAAAATCAAACTGTGAGGGACAGATGCAAAGTGGAGGAGATGTTGGAGGGGAATGCGATGCCTCCTCCTGCACACAGATCCGCACACACACTAACTCCCAGTCTGTGCGTTAGAAGAAAAGACTGGGGGATGGCAGCCTGTCAGCTGCTCTGACATCATGTTCAGATGGAAATGCTACCTCCAGCTGTGCTCCTTTTAGTGCCATATGCTACTCCTCTACACTCTTGCCACCAGCCTCTCCTTTATACAACTTTGTTTCTCTTTCCCCCCTTTAAAAACCAGGAGGAAGGGAAGTGTTGTGAGGTGCTTCTGTAGAAAACTAGCCAATTCCCCCCTTTAGTTGTAATCTCTCAGCAAAGAAGAACTTGGAAATGGGTCCGTCTGAAAGCCGACACTTTTTTTCTAACCTAGTTTCCTGCATTGAGAATTTAAATACCCTTAAGTTTTCCCCCCCTCTCCTTCCAGTAACCATAAACAAAGGCCAGCACAGCACATTCGCAACTGACAGATCCACGCAGCTGATATTGTTTTCGACTTCTTTATGGTTCACTGGCCGCGCCATTACCGTCATTCATTTTACTAACCCTTTGGACAGAGGAGGGAGAGAGAGAAAAAAGAAATAAGAAACAATGGGAACAATCATACAGGCCTTATAAGTACGGTTCAAAACAAAAGCCACTGCATTCCGCATTAGGGCTTACAGACCTCATTACTTCTTAAGTATCCAACTCATATTTCTGTTCATTTTCAGAAACTTCTTCAGTGCGAGCCAAACAACAGTTTCCTGTTTACCACCAAATTCAGCAAAACAAAGATACTCAAATATAATCTGAAGGTCTCTCCTGAAAGATGTCACACTCATGACAGAATATTTAGTTTTTTTAACTCATTGATATTCATGAATATTTTTAAATGCATAAAAAGCCACAAGAATGCAGAGTTTGCCGCATCTGTCACATGCATTACACTTGGTCTCAGGGGCTTTTAAGCTAATAAGAGCTTTTCATTCAATATGTACTCGAACGATTAGGCTTGCTTATTACGTGTTTTGGTTTACAAAGCAATTGGTTAACATGAAGGTAAAAGTAAAAAACTAAGCCCACAATAGCGCATTGTTTAATACCGTGACATGTCAAAGTGAACTTGTTTTCAAACCTAGGAAAACGTTGTCCTTAAAGACTTACCCAAATGGTGCCAAGTTAGCACCTTCTTCAACTTAAAAGCTACGATACAAAACAAACAGACATAAAATAACACAAACTACGAGTCCACCTAGGTAGGAAATGGTATTATAGCAGGCTACTCCTACACAAACACACACACAGAGCACCGCCGACGGTCTTTCTCTGGATCCTGACCCCGTACGTTCAGGAAAAGCTAGCTTGCGTGGCTAACAAATAAAAAGTAAGCGTTCAACCTGCAGTGTTACAGTTTCGCGACAGGCCCCGATGCCACGCGCTCGAGCAACTCATTCTGCGCGTGAAGACCGACAGTCGCGTGAAAAAGATCGTTACTTTTCTCCATAACAATCCAGCCAGTGCCTCCAACCCCCCTTTCATCTCCTTAAAGAGCACCTCGTATCACAGGCACTTACAGACAACCAGGTCCAGCGTCTTCCTGCTTCCTCCGTCTAATCCTCTCAGCGAGAAAAACAACTCGATTGACTTTCAACAGCTTTCCATAACAACCCGCGGTGGCAGGAAAGACGGAGCAGGCGAGCGGAGCGACGAGAGCTGCGGCAGCCAGATGTTTCCGAGCTGTTGCTACTCAACTCTCCTGTAAAGAGGAAGCGCTTGACTGGCAGCGCGCAAGCCAATGGAAGAGGCGAAAAGAAAAGCGAAGGCAAATTGGAAGCTGCCGCTGAGGGGGGAAGAGGGAGGGATGTCTCTTTCTCGGCGTAGGTTGACACCAGGCAACAGTGAGAAAGCAGAAAAAAGGCCGAGCGAGCGGGTTCCTCGAGCAGACTGGCGCAGCGCGCGGATCGAGGGACATTGCGCAATGTTAGGTGGGTACTGTAGTCACGGACCGAGCAGCGGTGAAGAACAGGTGCGCTGCGGAGAGATAGGGGCACGGGGACAACGAGACGGCCGCTTAAGCCGATTCCAAATGAGGAACAGAGGCGCGAGTGTCTGATGTAACTCTAGAATTATTACTACAAAATAAAACGAAAAGAGACCGTTTAAAGTGAAACATTACATTTGAGAAGGGCTTATAATTTACAAATATTTAGCGTACAAAATGGGTCTATAAGCGGATGAAAAAAATACTTGGGTAATTGTAATTAGTTATTTTAGTTATTATTCTTGATTATTATTATCATCATCATCATCATCATCATCTGAAATGTTACCAAGTTGTTTCCTTTTAGTGGCAGCTTTAATTGGGAGATTATCAATAGTCATTCAAATTTCATACGCGGGCAAACGACATTAATGCACTATTGAAGTTAAAAGAGTACATTGGCCTATTCTAAAATCTATTTTATTATTTAATTAAATTCATTTGGGCTCAATTTGAATGCAATGTACCGCAGTGTATATGGTTACTGAAATGTTGTGCTGTCGCTACCACCGTAATATTTTGGGCTGTAGCCTACACTACAATTACAAAAAATATTTTTCTTTGGAAAAAGAAATATATCAATATTTTAGAAATATATAAATAAATAATTAAATGCAATTAGATAGAGAAATATAATTAATGTAGCCTAATATAATTAATCTAATATAATAAATGCAATCAAATTAATGAATGGATGGAGCATTTGATGAATAATGACCCTAAATAAAAACACTGGCAGCAGGATTTTATAAAGTGTAAAGAAAATGCAATAATCTATCATAAGCAATGTGCTGAAGGCTAGATTCCTGTGCTTACATGCCATATATACAGTTTGTGTGTGAGATCGCGGCGTCAACAGGTGAACGTTTGCAATGCTAAGTATGTGCAATGGTCCACAGATGCGCTAAGTTCACTCCGGACGGAGCTTGTGAACACAGTCACGTGTTTGGCATATTTGGCTGCTGAACGCACCGCCCATCAGCATCCACGCTCCCACACTCATGCGTCCCAGTAAACTAATTGGCGTTACTAATACATTTCAAAACAAACCACTGTCCTACTGGTACCGGAATCTTGACATAATAACATTATAATTTCATGCAAATAATGGCCTCATTAAGCTGATGTGGCAAATGAGTCCAGGCATGTGATGTGTTGGTGTTTTCCATGTCGTCACCCAACAATACTCCTTCTGTACAAGAGTTATCATTCACAACAGGTCACATCAATTATAATGAAATATAAATCAAATCGAATGTTATGTTTCCAAGTTTTCATGACTTAGGGTTGTATAATTATAAAACACAAGTGTCATTTAATTTGAATGCACAGATATTTTATTCAGTCTTTAGGCAATATACTAATATTGCAATAATATTATAATAATATTTCACTCTTTATTAAGCAGTAATACACAATCCCCAAACACAAGCAAAACACTTTGTGTTTCACATAGTTGCAACTATCAGCATAACCGCTGTTAGTTCTCTGCTCCAGATAATCAACAGGCCTTTTTGATCCCAAATGTTTTTTGGAGATGACAGTCCCTGTGCCATCAGAAATGCACAGCTGATGTTTGAAATGATATTTACTGGAGTTCTCTCCATCTGTTCAGACTGAAGTCAAAGATGTGAGGCCTCGCTTCTGTGCAACTAAGAGCAGTTTTCTGAAGAGCGATAGAGGACTAGTAAAAGGCGTTTTATTTTATTGTTACAGTATAGAAATAATATTGACTTGGATTTATTAACTGATAGCTGTTATAAGTGTGTATTTTACAGTAGCTATAATATATTCAAATGAATATAATTAATTCTATTTGGCATGTAATTACATACTGCCTTCAGAAAGATAAGGGTTATGCTGTTCAGCAGTATGAATTAGCAAGAGGTCTTTTAGGTGATTTTGTATTCTTATGCTTGAAAATGTAATGTAAGCTTAAAAAGAAAATGTGCAAACACAAAACAAGACTATGTTCTGTATTTATGTGTATATATACAGGCTGTAATGCTAGGAGAGCCACTGAATTCACATTTGACAGTTTATTCTAATCAGGTACTTCCGTATTCCCACCTCTTGAGGTCACTGTGGAATCCATGTTTGTGGATGCTACTGGATTCACTCAACTTCCACCACAAACACAAATATTGTATAGCTGAAGCCTTTTATGCATTATTACATGCACAAGATTATACATACTTAACTCTTTAAGAGTATATTATATGTGTTATTTATAGTAAAAATAGGGAAAGTTGGGAATATTAATATATTTGTGGTGGAAAGCTGTTGAACATGCTCATCCAAATCTGGAGATGAGCTATTAGACAGACCTAAACACATGTTTATACAAGTACTCTGACCTTTATGATGGGATTAAACACGCACTAGAGCAGAGAGCTTGTCCAGTTGCACAACTACAACAAAGACTATGAACAATGTACAGCCCCAAACGCAAACATTCATTAAATTCACCGCTCACAGCAGGTATGAATTATGTCATCCCTGCAGTGAGCAATGTATGAATTCAAAGACCTGAAAATTGTGGTCAGTTTGAATGCTCTACAGTTAACAATACTGGTTTTGTGTCCAGATCTTAAATACATTTATTTTCACTTTGAAGCCATAGAGAGCAACGGGATGTGTCCCTTCTCTGGTCTGGATTCTGGCACTAACATCTGGACTGGGCACTTTCTCCGTTTCAATTTCAAAAAGTACTTTAGACCTTAGGGTAGCGGGTCATTTTTGATGGGAATAAAAATGAGGCTGTTAGGGATAATGTACAGTTTGTTTAATGGATTTTATTGTCGTTTAACAAC